AGGAGACGGGCCGGCCGCGGGCTCGAGGGCTCGGGGCCTCGGCCCTCGCCTCTGCCGCCTCCCTGCTGGACTCTGGCCTGCCCGGCTGTCCCTAAGCCACTCCGGGGGGACCCCCCCAGCACCCTGGAGCGGAGAGGCAGGCCCGAGAGCAGAGTGGGGGGCTGGGCCTTGGAGAACCAGCCCCAGCGGCGGACCAGACATGGAACCAAAAATAAGGCGGGCTCGAGGGCTCGGGGCCTCGGCCCTCGCCTCTGCCGCCTCCCTGCTGGACTCTGGCCTGCCCGGCTGTCCCTAAGCCACTCCGGGGGGACCCCCCCAGCACCCTGGAGCGGAGAGGCAGGCCCGAGAGCAGAGTGGGGGGCTGGGCCTTGGAGAACCAGCCCCAGCGGCGGACCAGACATGGAACCAAAAATAAGGAAAAACTGTGAGACGTGGGGGTCCGCCCCTGCCTTGCCTGGGGACCCCCAGGATGATAGTCTCTGTATTTTTTTACTCCCGCTCCCCAGAGGGGCCGCAGAGCCCCGACCCTGAATTACACAAGAATGTATCGTGCCGGAAGCCGGACCTGTGTGGCCTCTGGGCCCCTCACGTCGTGTCTGTCCCTCCTTGCTCAGTTTGTGTCCAGTTTGGTTTTGTGATTTTCATTTGGCAAGGAGGCCCCCGTGTGACCTGTGTGCTGTGGTTGGTGGCTTAACCCTCCCGAGGAGGAGGAGGAGGAGGGTTAAGGGTGCCATGGGTGCCCACCCCGCAGGGTGTGGCTTGCTTCGGAGGGGCCACACTTGGCTCTCGAGTGGCTGGTGCCTGTCAGTGACAGTGACGCCTGCCAGGGAGGGACGTGCCTGTCGCAGAGGGTGTTGGGAGGCTGTAGAGGAGGGTTCCGTCCTGTCAACTTCCTCACCTTGAGAGTGAAGAGCCACCCCTCCCCCAGCACAGCTACCAAGTCCCGGATCCCTGAGTCCTGCTGGCGTCGGGCTAGAGCCTCGGACGGTGGCCCTGCCGTTCCCGGTGGCCTGGAGCTGGGTGCGCAGTTAGTTTAGTCCGAAGGAAGGTTTTGCTTAGTTTTAAATGTTGACCGAAGTCCATGAGCAGAGCGCCTCAGACCTGCCTCCTGCCTCCTCGTCCAGCATTTTTTGCACCCACCGCCCAGGACCTGAGGGGGGCCTGAAGGGGAGGCCGAAAGGGAGGCTGGCCTCTGCCTCTCCGTTCTGGTGAACAAGGGGTCCCACCCCCTGCGGGGCCGGCATCCGATAGGAGGTGGTGGGCCCACGCGCCAGGTGGTGGTCGAGGCGCGGCTCGGGCCTGGCTCGGTCCGGGCAGGCCTCGGAGGCCCGCACACCTGTCCTTCCTCTTTGTCACTCACCCCTGGGGACCTCGGGTATCTCCCAAGTTCATCGCTCCCAAATCCGTCTTGGGAAGAACCCTCGCCTTTGGTAGTGAGGGGTGGTGGGAGCTGGGAGTGCGTGCGAGGACCCCGAGTGTTCTAGGTGGGAGCCCCGAGGAGCTGCAGGTGGGCTGAGGTGAGGCGGGGTGGGGGGGCCAGGAATGGGGG